GTAGATTATTTCATAATTGTTCTCGTGCTTTTTTCCTCTATGATAGAGAGGATTTTCCACATAAATTTGGTATTCTTGTTATTGTGCTCTTATAGTTGATTAATTTTTTCTTTTGACTAATGTGTGTATTTGGTTTAATTATTTTCTCACAAAATCTAATTTAATTACATGAGGTAAGATTAAATTTCTAACATTAGTATCAAAGATTTGGTTAGAATATTTGTGTAAGCTAAATCAAGAAAAATAATTCACGAACCATGATCAAATTGATGACTTCAAATTATTCAATTTAAAAATCGAGGATGAAGAATTTACTATATTGTCATGATTTGTTTGATTTGATTAAATTAAGTAAAGCCAAACATAGAAAGAAAAAAAAGATAATAAGAACATTATGATAGTATTAATTTCAAATTGGAATATAGCGATGTTCGATATAAAGAGAATATGTGTATATTACAAATCCTTATGTTGAATAAGTTACTAACTTAACAACTACATATCATGCTACTTCTAAGAAAAAATTCTTTACTCGTATAAAGTAGGAGACTTTAGCAGAGCAAAGATAGATTATAATATTATGATAGTGTTTTAGGAGTTAGTGATATGTGTATAAAGACATATATATATTGTACATTGACTTTGAAGGATATGATGCATGTATTGATCCAAAACCCAAATAAAAATTAACAAGAAAATGGAATTCTCTCTAACGGTCATTATCTTAATTTTAAGGTTTCCCTAAATATTGTATGGCTATGCCACCACCCAATCGGAAAGATCCACAATCTAATATGGATTTCCCTTCTCTCCCTTCATCTTCAACCACGGGAAACAACCTTAGAACTCAACCATCCACTAAAATATCATAGCCAAACCATGGGGTAGTGGATTTATCCGAAGTGGTGACCATAACCACATGCACACATAGCTTTAATACAAAACAACAATAATAAACGACTATAGTTGATCACATCAAATTAGGTCTATTGATTCTCTCCATACAGATTCAAGAGTCGATTGGAGTTTCATAACCAATTGTAGTGAACTATGTATCCGTTGTTACATAAAAACCATCGAATCCACAGATCACATACTCCTATATTAATAGATGGACTAATAGCACCAAGACCTCGAGTACACCTTAATGGTGCATTAGCATGTTTGTTATCATTGATTGAGTTAGAGGTTGTCGTAAAATAGTTCTAATATACCGTTATTTTAAAGTTCTCTAATGGTAGACCACTTATAGCAGCTTTAGGTATGTTCACCTCACTTATCTCGTCCATTCTTTACCCCATCTTCTATACGGAGAGTGGGAGAATCAATAGGTCATTTCTTATGAGTAAATCATAGAACATTGCAACTTTCTCATCTTATGGTTGCAAGAATGTGCATTGAAATTGATGTGTCCAAACCTCTTCAATCCGGAGTGTGGTTAGGGACAACGAAAGACTAAGGTTTTTGGCAAAAGATAGAGTATGAAGGCAACGTTACTTTCATGAGGGATGTGGTTTGATTGGTCATCTAGTGGGAAGCTACCATAAGAAAACACAACAACAAAAACATATGCTTATGTCATTACAAGTGGAAAGAGTAGTCTCTTTAAGTAAACATGTTTTGTAGACAAGGATGAGCGAGACTACACGAAGCAACGGAAGAATAATGATATAATGCTTAAGGAAGCCTATGTCATTCAAACACAAAACAATCATACAAGCTTTCAACAAACATCTAAAACTATTCATGATAATGATATATAGAAAGTAGTGAAGAAACAAAGTCGTTGGCAAGGATAAAGGGAAATGCGTAATGCAATTAGAGAATAATCAAGATGTGTGGTTTCCTATTAGGGGAAAAAGATCATCATAATAACTTCAACATAAAAGGAGTTTGAACTTCAAGATGTGGTCGATAAACCCGTTGAAGACAATGCTTATATGGGGCTAGAAAGTCACACTTTAAATGCGAAATGGGAATAACTAGGGTTAAAAAAAATTGTAACGAGATACATACAAAGTCTATGTAAGCTCGATCGATAAAAATAAGAGATGGTAGCGAGAGGTTAAGCACGCACGGACAACTATATCGGATTGATCTTGAGGAGGAAACTGCACAAATACATACTAATGAGGCCAATAATGATCAATAAACCACTGGACCGACAAATTATCGAGAGAAAATACTTACCTAAAACAGATTTAGTCTTTTAGGGTCGATTGATAATGCGAGAGGTTATAGATGGTGAAGATGTGAGGTTATGGCAAGGATTTGTGTTAGATGATAACCAATAGAATCAACAATGTAACAAACAGGTTACTCTAAACGAAAGGCCTCATTGAATCCAAAGGATATGCAACATTTTGATTTAGAGAAGATCAACAAACTTCATAAATGTTTTACCAAATTAGGTCAAAGAGTGAAGCTTCAAAAACTAGCTTTTAAGCGATAGATAAGGAAGGGTAACTTCAAAAGCACAATCTAGTCCATAATCTAATCTTTTTTAATGTTAGTCCCGATTTGGAATGCTAGTGATGTCGGTAATACAACCACTACAAATTATATTAAGACTTTAAAGACACGGTATAAACCAATATTGTTGGTAATTCTTGGAGAAATTTTATAATACATAGTGAGTAACTAGTGGCATGTACAATAGTTATTCTTTGGGCTCACTTTGAGGAAATAGATAGACACACAAAAAGAAAGAAAATAAAAGAGAGAGAAAATAAAAAAATTTGAGCGGACGTGAAAATCTTCTTATCACTTTTGGTGGGTATGGATGTAATTTTACTCTCTTTTTATGTGTCTATCTCTCTCTTTAAAGTGGACCCAAGGAGTAACTACCGTATATGTCACTAGTTATTACTTTGTATTATAAATTTTTTTGTAATTCTTGAACAAAAAATGGAAGGGAGTAGAATTGAACTAGCATAAGCCAAATAACACTCACATTTATTTGGTACGACATGGTAGGCATGCAAGCTGTGGAGGTTGGAAATCAACATGTAACGGTAATGGTTAAATCTCAAGAGTGGTCGTATGTCATGTGCGTCTTTGTTTATGCTAGATGAATCTATATAGCAAATAGGATAAATAGCTTTTAATATAAAAAACACTCTAAATGATATGAATTATTATTATAACAACAACAACAATATCAAGTGTTGATAAAAACTAAAATAGAAAATAAAATGATTATAAAAAAAATTAGCTACTTATATGAAATTTTAATTAATTCTCATTAAATATTATTATTTTTAAAGAGTCCAAATATCAATGGAACTAGATAGTTTGACATTTCAAAATTTTGTTCTCTCTTATTTATTTAACAATATTTAGTTAATGCATTTGCATGTGCTAGTTAAAGTAAAAAGAGTATTGATTAATTTTTTTTTTCAAGTAGATTATTATATTTTGAAGAGGGAATGTTGTATTTCACCTTTTTTATAATTTTTTTTTAATGCATTAATGAATTTTCGTGCCTAAGAGTTTTTCAAAATATCAAGTTTGTGGAAGACAAAATCATTTGTCTTTAAAAAATAAAATAGTAAATCATAAAATCGTTCCGCCGGCCCAAACTATGTTTACAAATTCAAAAATGCCAAAAGCAAATCTTCAAATCTCAATCACATTGGAATCAATTTCAAAAGTTCCTTCAAGATTCAAAAATCAAAACAAACACAAAATAAATCCCAGTCTTTTTACCTACACATTAATCCCCGTCTCCCCAACAACATCCATAAAAGATCTCTCTTGGGCCCTACAAAAGGAAGACCAACAAAAGTATAAACTACAATTATACCACTATAAATTCATCCATTTTCCACTTTCACCCCTATAGTATTAAATTTTCCACGAAGTTCCAATGCCTTCTAATTTATTTTTTTCATATTTTTTAAGTTTTTTTCTTATATTTGAGAAGATAAAGGAGAAACAATTATGAAAAGGAAAAAAAGTCTTTAAATTGTACAAGGGTGATAATGAAAAATGTTAAACAATAGTAACAGAAGTGGAACATTGGTAAATCTATAAGGCAAAAAAGGTTAAAGTTGGTGGATTAAATTCTCATTCTTTCCGTTTCGTTTCCATTTTTGTTTTTGCTTCTATTTCCGTTTCCAATTATGATGGTTAGTTACATAGAATAGAATAGAAAAAACCTGGGAGACAGAGTTTGGTTTCTGAGGAAAAAAAAAAAACATTCTCCAGATTCATAATCCGATCTTTCTCTCCCAAATCAAGGATACCCAGGTAGATTTTTCCTTCTTTTTTTATCCCGCACATGTTTTAATTTCATTTTTTGCTTGCAAGGCAGTCTTGAGCTTGTTGAGTCTATTGTGTTATGTTATATTAATCTGCACTGAATAATTCCTGCAAAGAAAGAAGATATTTGGGTTAATTGGGCAATTTTCAATTTGACTTCAGCTTTAAAATCAGTTGAAAATTTTTGGGTTTGGACTAGATGTATAGATAAATGCGTTCTCGAAGAATACTGAGTTTCTTCATTCTCGGCAAATTCATTGTTTCTGATTATTGATGAAATGATTTACACTCGAAGAGAAATAGTTGTCCTTGTTCTTGTGAGTTGTATTTGCACCTGAATAGAAATTTGTAAAGTTTTTTCCATGTGCTATATGAGTATTTTGTTTTAGTCTGATTGGTATTATAAATGATAAATCATAGAGCATGATGGTAAAACGAGTTTATTCTGGAGAGCTCTGGTTTGATGAGGCTGATATCGTGTTATATCTTTATTCGAACTGCCACTGAGATGTGATAGTGTCAAGTTTTGGTTTAGTATATTTCTTTTTCTTTTTTGGTGGGTCTTCCAAGTTTGACTAAGGTACTAGGATGCTTGTCAGCGTTTCTTGCCACGAGGGAGTTCATTTTATTTTCTAGCACTGAGAATTGCGAAACTTGATGAGTGTGTCAAGAAGCTATTTCTTGCTGGATTTCAACTTGTATATTCGTGATTCTGGGCTTAGAAGATCTCAAACATAATGCCAATCCCTGTTCGGAGGTAAAGAATGCTGTGCTATTTCTTTTCAGCCAAAGGGCTATTTTACTCCTTAAGTTACGATTGGATTGATTTTAATAACAGTGTCTATGTGTATGACTTTGACCTCTTTTGAACTGCAGTGTAACTAAAAAACCTAGCGAGATGATGAGGCTTTTCATGACAACATTTGTTGGAATAATATTTGGCTTCTTTTTGGGAATATCCTTTCCAACGCTGTCGTTATCTAAGGTAGATTTGTTTCTAACCTTTTCATTGTCTACTTTGTGGTTGCATTTCTCTTTCGTTTTGGTGTTGCTTAATGCAGTGACAAAAATTCATCTTACTATGTTTTACGATTGGCAGATGAATCTCCCTTCCAGTCTGTTTCCTTCCATCGATCTTACATATATTGAGGACAAATACTCTGGTCTTTCAAAGCAAGCACTATTCAATGCTTGGTCTTCTCTAAAGGGTAACAAAGGCATCTCTCCTCTACTTCCCAGATACAATGAGACAGAGGTATATAGACTTCTTTTTAAGCTATTCCTAACGTGTAAAAATTGGTTTAAGTCAAAATATAATTGTGGAAATAACCAAAATATAAACCCGGTTTCTTCTGCAAATGGGGCTGGAGTTCTTGTTTCAAAGGTGAACCTGAACAGCGGCACCTTAAGGCATTAGCTCTTTCTTATTATGAATCCCTGACTCTCATCTCAAATAGCTTTGTCTAAGTATTGCTAGTTCCTTCATGGGAATACATAATACCATGAGTACCCTACTTATGTTCATGCTAGAAGTTCAGCATGTAGCATGGCCATAAGTATAGATGATTATCTGATTGTGGGGATAACTGTGTGAAAATATACGTAAGAATAAGATAAGAAGAGTGCATCCTTAGAATCCAGGTGGTACCCTTTGAGGATAAGTATAGGGAAGATTGTCTGAAATGATTTGATGTAGAATATAGTGATTGGATTCAAACAATTGGAAAGAAGAAAGGATAGATATACCAAAAAAACGACAAGGTTTGAAGTGCTAATAAAGAGTTATTGTTTACGACAGTTGGGGGAAAGATGGAAGCACGCTCCTTTGATTTTTTTTTTTGTGGACTGCAGATCCCGTTGGCAGCTGCCTTTTGTCTGTACCGGAATTTGATTTGTTTTGCTTAAATAAGTGTGATAAAGGACCAAGGTTGATTGCCTTTTTTTAATCTGATTACTTCAATTTTATCTCAAGAAACTAATTAACTTTGACTTGCAATTATTTTATCTGTTGTTGGTAAATGTTCAAGAAAAAACCATATCCATAGACTCTCTGCTAGCACAAATTTTTACTCCTCTGTTTCTGATGCAGATCTGGGTTCCAACAAATCCTCGAGGTGCCAAAAGACTACCCCCTGGTATAGTTGCATCTGAATCAGATTTCTACCTCCGCCGACTTTGGGGTCTGCCTAATGAGGTGATTAAATCCCATATGAATATTCCATCGTATTATGGTTTGAAATCAGTTACTTCCATGCATGCAAATTCACTAATAGCTTGATCTGAAAACATGAACAATGTGTAGTAAAAAAAGATCACTTGAAGATAGTGTGCATCAAAAAAGATCACTTGAAGATAGCGTGCATCAAACAATTGTTATTACATCTGGTTGTATTACTTAGAAATTGGAAACTGGAAGCATCATAACAAAACTGACTTCAAATTAAGGACCTCTTGAATTTTCTTGATAGTCAACTCAATATTTCTTCTCTGGTCCAAATCTCTGTTATTACACAATGTTTGCAGGACCTGACCATCCAACCAAAATATCTCGTAACCTTTACTGTTGGTTATGATCAGAAAAAAATATCGATGCGGCAGTTAAACAGGTTTTCTCTCCCTCTCTCTCTCTCTCATTCACCTTTTACTCTAGTGTTCTCTTTCTCAATTATGTGTATTGTCTCAGTTCTCCGAAAACTTCACCATTGTGTTGTTTCACTATGACGGACGGACAACCGAATGGGATGAGTTTGAGTGGTCAAAGCGAGCTATTCACATCAGTGCTCCCAAACAAACAAAGTGGTTAGGAATTTTACCCTTTCTGAATTTGGAGTTAATCCTACTAAATACTTATTTAAGCTGTATTTTCTAATAAACTCCTTGAAATTTGGTCCAGGTGGTATGCCAAACGTTTTCTTCATCCTGACATTATTGCTCCCTATGACTATATTTTTCTTTGGGATGAGGACCTTGGGGTGGAACATTTTAACGCAGAGGAGTGAGTACTGGATATTCAATCTCCGTTTTAATTGAGATGTATGTTTTCGTAAAATGGAATATGAAGCTTAAATGTATTCTGTTTCAGATACATTAAACTGGTAAGGAAACATGGTTTGGAGATTTCACAGCCTGGTTTAGATCCAGATAGAGGGACAACATGGGCAATGACAAAGAGAAGAGATGGTGTTGAAGTGCACAAGTAAGAATAATAGAACTCCCTTATGTGTCTCCATGTTTACTTATTAAATGAGTCTCTTCGCTTGAGGCTTGATGATATTGATTTCTTTTTCCCTTTTTGCAGGGACACTGAGGAGAAGCCCGGTTGGTGTACTGATCCACATTTGCCTCCATGTGCAGCGTATGTAAACATGATTAAGTCATTTTTTTCTATTACTGGAATAATTGGGCTTCCTTTTTTCATCACCCTGAAGATATATTTTGCATTGGGTTTAGTTTATCTTCTCTAAATATTTTATGAACAGATTTGTTGAGATCATGGCAACTGTATTTTCTCGAGGTGCATGGCGTTGTGTTTGGCACATGATTCAGGTAAAAAGAGTGAACTTAAATGATCTTGCTGTTGCCACTTCTTTAACTTAGATGTGTGAAATCTAAAACTTATTCTATTGTAGAATGACTTGGTTCATGGTTGGGGTCTAGATTTCGCTATGAGGAAATGTGTTGAGGTCAGTAACCACTTTTTTCCTTGCACCTGAACCAACATTATCCGGACACAACAATTTATCACTTACTTGACTTTGCTGGAAAACAGCCTGCTCATGAGAAAATAGGAGTTGTGGATGCTCAGTGGATCGTCCATCAAGGTGTTCCTTCACTTGGGAGTCAGGTAAACTAAAGTCATTATCTAATATGAATTAGTAGATTGTGAAATATGTTCACCTGTTTTTTTTTTTTTTTTTTTTTTTCCTGTTAATTCCACAGGGGGAAGCACAGAAAGGAAGGGCAGCATGGGAAGGGGTATGCAATTAATGTTTCTCTAAGCTCTGTTATCAAAATCGACTGCTAAACAGCATCTCCGAACTCTCTTTCTTTACTGGAACCCCTTTTCTTTCGTTTCTGGACTAGCTACAATGAACTGAACCTTGCATAATTTACAGAGAAGTTGCATTGTCACGTTTAAAACAAGAGTGGTAGTAACTAAGCTCTGGTTTTTATTTTTATTTTTATTTTTCTCAGGTGAGGGAGAGGTGTCGAAAAGAATGGACAATGTTTCAAGATCGAATGACTAATGCACAGAAGGCCTATTTCGAGACGATGGGAATTGATCCTCCCAATTCAACAGCTCGGTAGGGGGCCAAGAAACATTTAATAGAATTACCATGTCCAATATGCTTGTAGATGGGTCACGTCTATGTTCATTCATTCAGTTTCGAGTTTTGACTATGATAATTCATAATTATGTAGTTTTGACGATGACCCTTATTTCCTGTATGGCCAATTCCAATTATATTCTTATGCCCCACCTTTATATTTCCGTTGATGGGTGAGAGAGATTCATTCATTCTTTTTGATTGATCACATGACTTCATTTCATTCTCCACAAATACCATTTTGCTAAATCAAATTTTGATCTCACAATAACTCGTTCTGTCACTCAGCCAGTTTTTCAATTTGGCATGCCTAAAGCAATTTGTATGTTGTTTCGTTGTTCTTCCCCGTTCCAGAATCGAACATGATTATGGTCAAAAAAGAAGAGGAAGGAGGGGGACCGGAGGTTTATTAATAGGAAAAGGATTCAGAGAAAGGAAAAGATGAATCTGCTTTCAATAAGGAAACAAATGCTAAGGTCAAAAAAAAAAAAAAAAACCAGGTTCATGCTAGGTGAATTTGGGGTTTAGTTTTAGAGCTTTAGTCCTTAGTTTTGTTAGGGTAACTCGGTGTGGTGTTCAATAATAGAGTTTTGCATTAGTGTCCTTAATTCTAGGTGTCTTTGGGTAAAATTGGGCAGAATCTTGACCCTAGAGACTAGTTCGGACTTTATTTATTTGACAGGTTTGTTTCAATCATTTTAATCTGAGTTTTTTTTGGGTTTGTATGTACAGTTGTGTTTTCAATTTTGTAATTTATGGAATCCATTTATTATTATTTTAAAATTTATTTATTATTCTGCCATTATTTTAGTTATTAATTTGTGTGTGTTTTAAATTTTAATTATTAAATTCAGTGTTTAATTTTATTATGATCTGAATTTTTTTGCATTTGTTCATGTGTTTGACCTTAGCAAGCATTTTAAATTTTGTAATTATTGGAGTCTATTCACTATTATTTTTTCAATTTACTTATTTATTTCTACCAGCATTTTAATTATCAGTGTAAATTGTTTCAAAATTTAATCATTAGACCCAGTATTTGATTTAATTTAATTTTAATAAAAAAAATTAGAATTTGTTTATGTGTTTCTCATCAACTTGCGTTTTAAATCTTGTAATTTGTAGATTCTATTTACTATTATTTTGTAATTTATTTATTATTCTATTATTATTTTAATTATTAACGAGAAAGTCTTTTGAAATTTAATTATTAGATTTAGTGTCCCATTTTATTTTAGTTCAAAGTTTTTAGGATTAGTTTACATATCTAAGCTTTGGCTCATGTTTTAAATCTTGTACTATTTAGAGTCCATTTATAATTTATTTATTATGCTGCCAATATTTTAATTATTAAGAAAGTTAGTGTCAAGATTTAATTATTTAGTCTAGTGTCTAATTAAATCTAAATCTGAAATTTTTAGAGTATGTATAAGTATTTGTTAATAGGCTGTCTATAAATTTTTATTGAATTTAGATTTCGTTTTGATATTTATTTTGTTATTTTCTTCTATGTCTTGTTTATAATTTAATTAATTTGCTTTTAAATTCATTTAACAAGATGTGAGATCATCAAGTCTCGTAAGTTCTAAGAACTAGTAAGTAAGTTCTAAGAACTAGTAAGGATCTCATATCAAATTTAGTTTACAATCAGAAAATAAACACATCTTCTTAAAGTAATTAGAACAATTTAAATCGAACTAATGAGTTTCTTGTTTAAGTAAAGACCGATGTTAGTCTCGATTCTCAATTAAAAAGTTATCAAAAAAAGAAATAAAAGAAAGAAAATTAGCTAAGATAAACACAAATTAATTTAAACAGTTTTAGCTAACCAAGTCGATCCTTAACATATCAGTCATGCCAAAACACAATTACATCCAATGTTAAATTAACACAACTCTCCATCTTGAAACCTGATATTAATTTAGTACAATGTCATCATAAAAAATAATAAAATTAATTTAACCTAGATAATAAATAAATTTAGAAATAGACTTAAAAAATAAGTTGACAAAACATAATTTTTAAGATATTTTTATGATTAAACTGCACTTAATATTTTCTTTTTCCTAAGAATATAACTAATTTCTTATCCTAAAATATCTGAACCTAGTACTCTTTTTATGTTTTCTAAATTCTTTTAATAATAAGTTTTTTCTTACTTCTTTTTTCCTTAGAAAACATTTAAATTTTCTAAACTCCTTAAATGGTAGCGATGGCTCCAAAATTAATGGGAGACCGAAATAAACTGGCAATAATCAGTTACAAATAACTTATTGCCTCTTTGCAGGTCTTCCAAAGCAGATTAACGGACCATAGCTTTGGCATCACATTTAGTTATCGTCTCCTCCACCCCCTTGCAAGCAGAGTAGCCAACCATGACTTAGTATCACATTTTCCTTTGACGAGGACTAAAGGGGGAGAAATGGTGTAGACTTTGTAAACTCTAGTGATGGCGCAACAGATTGCAGTCAGCAGTTAGAAATAATTTTTAGTTATTGCCTCTTCCAGTTCTTTGAATTCCCATGCATCATCTGCTGAATATTCACCTGCCAAAGAGAAAAGGCCGTCAACAAAATGTTTCTTTCTATCTTCTCTCTCATTCTAAACATTACATAACTCTTCTTTTCTTTTCTTTTCTTTTTTTCTTTTTTCTGTGTCTGCACAATATGATGAGGTAATTAAATGCAGATTACATGCTTGACCATCAATTTAAATGTCAAGAAAAAAGGAAGACTGTTACCAATTGAATCTCTCCGAAGAGCAGTTAAATGAGCACAGCTGCAGGTGAAAGATTAAGTTAGAAACATAACTGAAGTATTGAAATAGAAAAACAACAAAAATTTCAACATGGAAAATTTTTCTTGCTAGTTTCTGTTAGTTGCCAACATATTCCTTTTCATCATTCTATTTCTTTTCTCTTCTTCATTTAAGAAAGAGGATGGGGCGATGGAGAACTCTGATGGTCTTCAATTGAGAGCTTAAATAGTTTAAAAAAGGTTCGGAAATTAGGGTGAAAATACAGTTTCCAATTCCCTAGGCATTATCAATTTAGAAATTTCATCAACCATACGCTTGGAGATATCCAGAGCCTGTTCTTAAGGGACAATACAACTTTGGAGCTTAGAATTCCAACGTAAGAGGTTCTAGGTTCAAATCCCACAAGGAGAGGCCTGTTTATGGGATGTAGAAAGGCTACCAGCCATTTTTAGTTCAAAGCAATGCCCTAATTAGCACCAATGCACCATTACAGAGCTATTGAGATTCTCCTTATCCGATGATACTGGATGCTTAAATGGTTGTGAGTTTTCACATATTTAAATTGTCAAACAATAAGCCCAGCTACAATTTGAAACAACAGGGTTTCTTCACTATAATATAGGTTTCATCAATGACATTCTGTCAAACCCAACTGGATTTGGTAATCCTTTTGGAAGTTGGAAGCCAAAGACTGCAAGTGTTTCAGAAACCTTAAAACTACTGGCCATAGGATAAATTGATGAAAGAGCATTAACCTAACAAAATAGATTCATAAGGAGAGATGAACCCATCAGTAAGTAATTACCTTCCAAGAGCCTTTCCAAGATCCGCACATAGTGACCGAATGTATGTTCCTTTAGAGCATGTCACCCGAAAGATCAAATTTTGTCTGAAATAACCACACAAAGTCAGCTCAGGTCAGAATATGGTTACCAAGAAAGAGCACAGGTGAACCTAGTTCCCTTAGATATTGTCAAATCAAATTGGATGAAGCTTTCCCGTCACGAATTTCATTATCCAATGCACAATAACATAACAAAATATTTTCAAATAATAGAAATTAAAAGCATTTCTTGATAGCGAAATTCTATGCTCAAGGTCATCGGTTTTTAAAAATTGTGAAATGATCAACCAAATTGAACATTGGCATTCATTTAGTTTAATCATTTGACCTACCCTATTGAGCCTCAATAAGCTTGAACGTCTAGTATTTAACCTCAGGTAGTTTCAGAACCCCAAATATTGTTATGCCACAGCTCATTGATCAGGTGACTTGCATGTTGACTCATGAATGTGTAGAACCATAAGTATAAGGTATGGTTCAATAAAGAATCAACAAAAAATAAAATTGATTATGAAGGGACTGACTTGCAAGTGGGTGTGTGTCTACATTCATGCATATGCAACAAGATCTATGACCTGTCCTCTAAGCTTCGCTCTATGTCAAATTGAAAAATTGAAATTCTTCTTGGTGAAAGCTCAATGCTTTCTCCTCTCCTTGCTTTCTCATACATCTTTTCACCTCCAACCTATCACAATGCAGCAGAACTCTTAGGAAATAAACTACAAACCTGTAACAGAAAGTCTTTAGTTAAGAGTATGTATTCACAAGTTACTACAAAATCTTCTGGTAAAAAATCCCATCACTCCAGAGTTTCTGAAAGGAATATGAGAACTTACATTCCCATTATCATGGTTCTAGAAATTAGACCAAAATGAACTTGTGCATTACCACTCACCAAAATTGAGGTAACATTTATGAATCTTAGGTGTTCGTATTAGATACCTTACTAGCTGTTTGAGACTTAACGATGATATATTGTTCAATTTCTTGGGAGTAATTGATTACATAAACAACCAATATATGATGAATTATGTGAAGAAATCTAGGAGCATAACTAAGAAGAGGATAGCACGTTGGCAAAAAAAAAAAAAACTAAGAGGAGGATAGCCAATTTTTGCCTTGGTAAAAGACATTTCCCGAGTTCATGGAATGCAGATATATGACACAAGTAACATGTGCCTATTGTGCATCAGCTGACATTATAATATGTGTACACTTATAATCCTCTAAGTGCTTAAGCGCCACTCAATTGAGCCTTCAAGGCAGCTACAAGAATCCTATTCCTACATTATACCCTGTCTAGCAGTTCAATTACCTTTCATTTTCATTTTAGCTGCAACATATTAAAATTTTCTATTTCTTGCACATATTTTAAGATTGATATGGATTTATGTATCTTAAAGAAACATGCAAGAACGATCTGTCAACATAGCGACATATGTAAGGCTGCTGATCCAGTACAAATTATCAAGAAAATTCAGCACAAATTCTTACTTTGATTGCAGAGAACATCGGTGGAACTTGCCATATCTCCCCACAAAAGGATGCAGCAGCTTTCTTTATTTCTGCATTTTTAATGTGCTCCCAAGGCTCACGCTGAATAACCTGCATAAGATGATAGTTTAAAGATTTACACAATGCATGAACATAAATCCAAAACCAACAAATCACGACCAAATATTTAAAAAAATTATGAAACTGATCACCAACACCCCAGATGATGTCAATGAAGCAAGAGTGTAGAAACATATAAGTGAAATTATCCAGCATATTGGCAATGGAAATTGTTGGCATGTCTACTGGAATTGAAAGATATCAATGTATTGTCTTTTGCTGTTTATCATGACTTCAACTTCTTTGAGAATGTATTCACATGTATAATTTATCTGCCATATATCCATTCCTATTAGGTACTAATCCATGTTGGACATGTTTTGATCGCCTATCCAGTGCTGCAGTTAAATTTGAACTCATTTTCCTCCATTAGACCTCTCCCCAATTTTCTTTCATTCACACCAGTAGTTGTACAACGAGGAGTGCAATATTCGGTGAGCAAATCATTTTCCTTTGATGATTACACAATTGATGTTAAATGAAGTGTATAGTGGTGCATTAGGAATGTGCTTTTCTCTTATGACAGGAGAAGACAGTAATATAATGCAGAAAGTGTCTTTGCTTACAGGGCTCCAGAAAAAGAACATGCATATTTCATCTGGCATACAACAAGAAAAATAACAAGCACAAGCTGCCATTCAAAGTACATACTGGCGAATCAGCATCCCAAGTAGAAGTAGCCTCCCCTAAACGGAACACTCCACTATAACCCTTAATCATACCTTGATATCTGCATAAAATTAACAAGGCCTTGAGTGGAAATCCATATAGAAAAAAGAAAAAAGGATACAGTCTGAGTCTGTGGGTCACCAAAGGGAGGCAAGAAAAAGGGGTCCAGGCACTGCCATAGAGATTATCCATAAAATTCCTACATAGAAAAATATATATAATGCTTAATGAATTGGTTCAATTTCAATCCTTACCTATCTACCAACTTTGTGGCTTTACCAACACACACAATCAGTAAACCAGTTGCCATGGGATCAAGCGTTCCAGCATGCCCCACCTTCAATCCAAAATGAAAATGATTAGAGTAACCTGTAACTAAATGCAGATACAACGGCATCAAAAAGTTGCACCTTTTTCACTTTGACCAGGCGACGCAGCTTTCCACAAACCGTAAACGAAGTCCATCCTGTTTTATAATCAAACACCTTTTTTTAATAAAAATAAAGCTTATGTGATCCATAATTTGAAATATTAGGTTGAGGTGTTAACTTAGAGAAAAAATTAACCACAATCGACTGGCATGTGGGATACTTCAGAAATTTAATAAAAGAGTGCAGTCAATTCACAAACAAATAACCAATGGATAAATTAAGGATTACTGGCTTGTGCAGTAGGCATGGAATAACCTTGACCCATATGATGCTACATAATGGTATCTACCCAATTGCAACACATTATAAAACTAATGCAAAATGAGGTTTGTCAAATTATCAGTCCATCTTTTTCTTGTTAGAAGAAGGATCAACACCCTGTATTTTCTTATGAAAAATAGATACATGCCATTATTTCTCTAGAGAAATGAAGTACTTCCACATTTCCATTCTTGATGCATTGGAACTTGTTTAAGAACCTAGGAGGTTAACTGCAAAAATGCCATTCTATCAAAGCCTGGTATAACCTACTTCAGATCAGCATAGAAAGCATTTTCTTTTTACCTGACCGTTAGGTACATAGATTCTACCATATAAAGGTTAGTTTTTCTCTTTTTTGTTCTAATCATTGGCAATATACGCAGTATCAGCACAAGTGAAACGTAGATCCTCTCATCCAAACCCATATAGTATGTTGCTGTTTAGTCTATGAATGGTCCTCAAAACATAGAAATAATAGTGCTACTTAGATTCTTCGGGAGTGAATTCCAATCTAACTCTATCCTTGCTAATTTCACGTCCTTTTGACATGATATTAAAACAAAAAAGCAACTTCCCCCTTAGAACTAAATCCTTTTTGTTCAGTTCCTGTTCGAAAATTGAGGGGGAAGGGCCATCATAGCCGCAGTGAACAAATTCATTAGGCAATCGTTTTCTTTTCCACAACTGTACAGCTGGAACCGAGGTTTCATTCTTTACTGTCCTAGAATTCCAAAATTTTAATTCAAAAACTTCATCAATTTATAAAAATGCATAACTCACTTTATTAAAACAAAACCACGATACTAAATGACACAAATAAGCTATTAACTCACCTTTAGGCTTATTCACCAAAACCACAGTCCCATAAGGGCCATCCCACCTTGGTGGCAGAGTATTCCTTGTAGCAATATAAGGCTCTCCAATATCCACTTCATTATCCTTATTGGGAACTTTTTTCAAACACTTAAAGAATTCCTCCACTTTCCTCTCTGTAACATCCTTTTTATCGTTCAAATTAGTCCCTTTCTCACCCTTCTCCTCCTCATCGAAAAAAACCAACCTTTTATCTTCCTCTCCCTCTTCAACCCCACTATGATCTCTCTCCTTCTCTCCTCTCTTGACACCACTCTTGGTCTTCTTTGTTTTCCCTCTTTGATTCACATTATTTGAGTCTTTAGGATCAAGAAATGCCTTATCAAGGCATTGGTCGGGGAAATACTTCTTCTCCAATTGATAAACCATCTTATAATGCTTATCTTTCTCCCATGGATAAGCAAATGCATCATGAAAATACAATTCCTCCTCTCTCTTATGCAACCTATGAAATTCTACAACCTCGGGCTTCAACTCTACAAAACCTTCTTCATTTTTCTTATTTTCCTCGTCAGAATCTGACCCATACATTCTTTTCCTCCTCTTTCTATAATACTTTCTTTTAGAATTATCCATCTCATCTTGAGACAGTTTTTGATCAGCCCATGAATCAAGACCGAGTTCTGCATCTGGGTTTTGAGGTGAGTCGGAGTCTGAGTTTGGTCTAGTGATTCGAGCAGGTCGTGGCCGACATTGGGGGCGTTGGGGCTTAGCTGGGCGGTTAATGATCATATCATATTGAAGAGGATATCTAGTAGAAGTGGTGGAGAAGAGACTTTGCGTTAGTGAGACGATGGGTATGTTTAAAAGATTGGACCTTTTTGAGGGTAAGAGAGAAGGATAGAAGGTTGCTTTTGTTGTTGATGAAAAGGCCATTGGTTTTGGAAGGAAGCAGAGTAGAGAGAGTGATTTAGCCATTGATGATTAGTTCAGTTTCTTCTACTTCTTGCTCCTGCTAGTTTCGGTGGTGTTTGATGTTTTGGTAGGGCTGCAAATAGATCCTGTCTTAATCAGAATTGAACCCAAATTCGATATAATTAAAATTAAATGGATTTAGTCAATAATTTTTTTTATCCGAACATGTTAGTTTATTTATTAAATAAAACTAATCTGAATTTAACTTAATCCTATATGATAATAATTTAATTTGATATTAAAATTAATGTATTTTTAATAAATATAATATTTTAAAAATTTATAAAAAATATATATAAACATAATATTAGGTTGAAATTTAAAATTTATTTATTGGGTTAAAAATCCAACATATCTCACTATTTTTTTATTTATCTTAATTATTTTTTTATTAATTTTTTTAATAATTACATCTCTTTATTTTTAATTTACATCTTAATTTTATTTTTTTTGTCTTTTGTTTCAGATAACAACGCTAATTTTTAATATAAGACGCACATGATATTAATAAGTAACATTATTTTTTTCCTTCAATTTGGAAATATCAGTAAACAAAGTAAGATATGTAAAAATAAAAATCCCAAATTACCCCTATTTAAAAATCCCGTATAAACTTTCTGTTTATTAAAAACCCCGAAAATCCTCGAATCATAAAAAAATCCCTAATTTGTTCTCTTTGCAAATTATTTTTCCATTGAAGGCCTGCCCCCGGAGAAAGAACCACCAGCTCCTTAACTACTTGTGGTGGCAGAATCAGGATAATTTCTTTCTTCTTTATAATTATCAGGTGGTGGAGTTTTGGCCTCTCTTTGAAGTTGCAGTTCCGGTCCCAGAAGCTGATGAGCAGCATATCGAGACCCTGACACTGCAGCTGGGCTTGCTTCCAGGTCGGACATTAATACTTAATTCCAAGCTACGTACTGCTGCTGTTGTTGATCATGATCAAATGACCCTGTACCTCTGGCCAGAACCTTGCGTTGTGACTTAATTATTGTTGACAATGAATTGATGCAGCGGTGCTTGCATAGAATCTAGTAAACCTTATCCATGGCTCTTAATTGAAATTTGAAATCAAGAAAGAAGTCACGGATGGGAGAAGAGGAGATCAAGAAGTTTAAGAAATAGTACGAATTAACAAGCATATATTTTTTATTTCTTCGGCATCTTTTTGTAAAATTCTTTTACAGATTTACAATCAATTCGTAAAAAGAATTTTTGATTTAATAAATCATTTTAAAATTTTTAAATGCACATGACTATATTTAGAACTTTTTTTTACGGTAGAGTAATTCTTTTGACAACTATTTCAATATGCAGAAATGAAGTGGATAATTTTCTATTTCCTCAAATAAACTTGTTTTAGTATCCCATCATAACCTAAATTAAAAGCATCAGTCTCCACAATTTTTCGTATAAAGGGATCCGCCAAATGAAGACATGGGATTTCTAAAACTTGTCGCTTAATCCGTTAAATTATCCTAGTATGTTCATCAAACCATGGAATTTGGGTTTTTTTTAACCTATCATGTAAAGGTCTTGCAATATGGTTAATGTTTGGACGGAAATCGGTTTTGATTTATAAAATTAAGGATTCCGGAATGTTTTTGTCATTTAAGGAAACTATGAAGTTTGGGTAACGATCAAAGGATATTGGTCCACTACATAGACTGGATTCTATAGAGCTAACCAAAGAATCTTGGAAACTAGTAAATCCGTTATCTCTAAGTATAGCTAGGATTGAAGTATTTAATCATTCTTTTGTAAGTGATTTAATTCTCACTTAGACTAAACCTATATGGAGGTACTTAAAATTTTTCTCTCTGTGTTTTTGTATAGTTTTTGAAAAAAGGAGATAGATGATCTCAAAAGGTTTTGAAAACTTGGATATCCCTTTCTTCGATTTTGATAGTAAAATCAATTTTAAATAGGTTATACTTGGAGGTTTTATAAATCTCATCCTTATGTATTCTAAGAATTTTTCCAATTATCAATTTGCTCTTCAAAATCTTCTATAACATACTCCACACTATTTATAATTTTTCAAGATTCTAAAGTTTCGAAGCGAGAAGAGGTGGAAAATGAGGTAAATCTACAAAATATGGAGTCTATCTTTAGACTATGTTTTGTAACGAAATACACGGAGTTATGAAGGTGATAAAAAACAGCTTTACTGCTTCTCCTAGGAAGGTTGTACGAAAAGGACATGATGGCTCATCCAACCAACTCATATATATATATATGAGTTAGTTACCCGCACTACATAACGGTAGTGTGATGTTAACAATAGAGAATAATGTCGAAGTAGCGAAGTAACTAATAATACTAGTCACAAAGTTAATGTGATCATATGTTCTCCTTATTTATTTATGAGATGAAGGTTTTTTTTTTTTTCCGTAGATGATGACAAGATGGTTGTGTTGTTAAGTTAGTGTAGAGAAAAAACATGCACCAATATAGTCTATTTAATGTTATATATATTTTTTATAGTATAATAAATGATGGAATGCCTGTATTAACAAGTTTATGAGAAGAGAACAACATTGTATTTTTTATGGGGTCGCGGATAGTTTGCATTTACGATTGTTGTGTTGCAAATGAGTTAGCTCGAAAAAAATACAATGAAAAGGATGGCATGGTAATTTTTTGTTATAGCATCCGAAAGTCAAACTAACTTTTTGGCACCTCATAGAAATATTATGGAATAATCTCTTTAATCATTCACTACTAACCAAATAACTAATAAGTGGATCCAAGGATCATGCAACAAGGCCACTTTAATGAGGCTAGACAAAAAATCTCAAATTTGGTTGTAAAAATTATGGTTTTTGTAATGCTCTTTTTTTTTTTTTTTTTGGCTGTAATAAAACCAATAACTTAGTTATTTGTTGTTATATATAAATAGAATTAATCCTAATTTAGAGTGTATGGATTGTACAAATACTTTCATGAAATTAAACTAATATTAAATTACCATTTAAAAATTAATACATTCACCATGGTGCAAACATTCAAATTGAGAAAAAATAAAATTAATAAATATGAGTTATTTATTGCATATGTAAAAGATTTTCAAAATCAAATTACCATTCAAAAATCAATATGTTCACCGATATAAACATTAAAATTGAAAAGGAAAAAAAAATGCTTAATTTGTTACCTTCCATCCAATCCTTTATTATAACAAAATCAAATATAAATTTAACATCAATTTGCAACAATCTAACTTATGTATGAAAAAATTTTATATCATCATGGAGAATTGAATAGACATATATATCCAGCCAAGTGTAGAATTTATCTTAAATATTCTTAGAAGAGGTAGATGCATCTATAGCACGATGATACCATTCCATATCTCTTCATTTATCTATGACAACATCATAATGGGAAAAAAAAATTAGAACAAAATCACTTAATGGAAACTGTAACATATCAAAAGAGAGTCAAATTAGCACTTGCGGACATCAAAGAGGCAAAACAAGACCAAAAATATAAGCAAGGTGGAAAAAACCTTCGAACAATTTTCTTGATGCTTAGTTTATGCTTTATGCCAAGCTGCTATGGCCAACACATATTTTGACTTCTTCATTTTCTATGTTGGAGGTTATAGATGATGTGCCATGTCAAATCATCTATTTTTATTAACATAAGAACTCATAAGTCCGGTTTATGCATGAGTAAGTTCCATAACATTAAGTAGTCATGTTTCGATGTACGACAAAAGCTCATCTATTCAAAAGGAATTGAAGCTTTGAAATGTAACTGGTGATTTGACATTATATGTATCTTTTTGTCGTTTCTCCATAATGATCGCATTTCCATATCGGACATTGGGCATACAATACCTTTAAGTAGTGTTTTAGTTCCTTAAGGCCTCTTTTGAGTCTAAATATACATATAGAGGAAATTAACATATAACTCAAGCTAGTTGTTGTATAATAGAAAATGTGACCAAAATTTAGATTGACAAACCTCATAAGTTTTAAATCATATATCCCATAAAACATCCACTAATATCTATCCCGAAATCGTCTACAAGAAAAAGGTAAAAAAAAAGGGCAAGCTGTAGAGTAAACATTATGCCAAAGATTGAAGCATTATGTACCTTGACATTTTTCATATAAAATTCAAAAGCAAGTATCTTTCTTTAATGTGCTTATATCGTACCATTTGATATTAGAATAAAAGGATAATGTTTTTTTACTTGATAACAAGGCTTTCCCAAGTCTAAAGAAATGTATATGCTTGTTTCCTTTACCACGTCGGGATAGTTCATGTGTAGGAATGGCAATGGGGCGCGGGCGAAAATGGTCATCCACGTGAGGGGCTAAGGACGAGAATCCCCTCGGGGCACCGGTGCTCTTTTTAATTTTTTACATCCATCCTCGCTCCATTTTACCTCATAATATCTTATACCAAATTTTAAACTATAGTAAAAAGATAATAGTTCATATAAAAATTTAATTAAGAAAGATAATAATTTAACATCATATTCAACTATAAGTTTACAACACAAATCATAATATATTAACTTATTTTCAATCAAATAAATAATATACTTAATTAAGTTGAAGAAGTATCACAAATACAATTAAAAAACACAAATTCTTGCATGTCTTTATTGCTTAGAGATTATCAAAACTCACTAATTACATTGAAGATTAGTTTGTAGTATCGAGTTTATATATCTATTGGATATAATTATAATTTCCAAAGAAAAGGGCGGGATGGATAAATATCATACTCGTCCTATCCCCATTCAAAATTAATACGGGGTGGGGCACCCCACCTCATTCTCCATTCAACTCGAAGAATCCTCACGTTGATCGAGGTGGGGAGGAGCGGAGCAAATTACCATCCCTATTCATGTGGAATACTTGAATGTTCCTAAGTGAGAACATAAATGTCGAACTTGTAAAAAGGTAACAATTAGAACTTTTATTTAAAATGATATTACGAGCATAATTAAAATTAAGATATTTGAGAGTTAATCAATACCTTATTTCTTACTCCATTTCTTAAAGAACGAGAAGGGGTGAAGGTTGTTGGCTTGCTATTTGAGAAGACCATGATGGCCACTAGCCTCCTATTTGAGAAAAGCATGATAGCTATGATGGAACTTCAAATTCAAGTAATAAAGAAATGCTGAATAAAGTGTTAGAATTGAATGAGATCCGAGTTTATTGAATCAAAATCGAGTTACACTACAATTACAAATAGAAATAGAGCTAGAATTCAATAAGAGTTTGTAACTACAATGGACATATATTATGCCAAAGATCGAAGCATTCTATACCTTGACATTCTCTATGTAAAATTTGAAAGCTAGGATGTGACCCTAGAATAACACTTAAAATAGTTTAATAAGTGCAACAAATGAATAACAATTCGACCAAAAACATAATTTTCTAAACATCTAACAAAACGTCGATAGAGTCTCTCTTGCAAATTACACCTATTTCAATTAACAAATACTTCAAATGATCATACAAACATTGAAACTAATCAACTAAAAATCAATTTGCATACATCGAAAGCGGTACTTGCCTCGAAAACTCCATCAAAATTAAATTCCAAACCCATCCTTTCAATTCTATTGCGAGTATTGAATTGACCTTATTTCTCCTCAATTCCTAAGGGTCTCCGATCCCCGGGTTCGATATACTATGGCGTATCTCAACACACTCCAATAATCATATACAAAATAACTAAATTAACTTAAATTGAAATTTAATTTAATTTTAAATAAAAAGTAATTAACTAATTAAAATATAAATAAAATTAAAAATGAACAAATTAATCATAATTAACCTAATTAATTTAATTCTAATTCAAATTAACCTAATTAATTCTAATTCGAACCTAATTAAATTTAAACCTAAATCAAATTAAGTTAATTAAATCTAATTCAAACCTAACTAAATTTAAGATAAAAATAATTAATAATTTCCAATATAAATAAAATTAAAAATCAACCAATTAATCCAAATTAACCTAATTAATTGATTAATTAAACCTAAATCAAATTAACCTAATTAATTCTAAGCTAATTAAAATTTAATATAAATCAAATTAACTTAATTAAATTTAAAATAACAAATTATTAACAATTTTCAATATAAATAAAATTAAAAATCAACCAATTTATCAAAATTAACCTAATTAATTAATTAAACCCACATCAAATTAACCTAGTTAATTCTAATTCAAACCTAATTAAATTTAAATCTAAATAAAATTAACCCTAATTCAAAAATAATTAAATTTAACTAACGATTAATTAATAATTTCCAATATAAACAAAATTAAAAATCAACAATTAATCAAAATTAACCTAAATAATTAATTAAATCTCAATCAAATTAACCTAATTAATTATAATTCAAACCTAATTAAAGTAAAAACTAAATCAAATTAACCCTAATTCAAACTTATTAAATTTAACTAATAATTAATTAACAAGAGAGATAGATAGATAAAGAGAGAGAGAGAGAGAGAACTTACCTAATTCGAACAAGGAAGAGATCGAAAGGAAGAAAGGAAAAATGAAGGTTTTTAGAGAGAAAAGAGTTTGGAGCGAATGTGTTGATAGGGAGTAGAGGAGTTGAGTTTTGTGGTGGTTTTGGTTGGGGGAAGGATCGGCGAGTTGGAGGAGGAGAAGGAAGGGAAGAAAAAAGGGAAAGGAGATTTAATTAGGGATTCGGACCGGCAACAAACGTGATCTCGTTGCCGCTTCACTCGTCATTTAGCGATGGACATAAGTGTCCATCATTAAGTCATTGTTAGATAGACGACTTTTTAATTCCAAAAGGTTACCTATTTTTTTAAGAATTAGTGAGGTTTATTGTCCTTTAGGGACAGATTATCTGTCGCTAAAGCAAAACATTAAAAATAATGATAGAAATAATAACTCGTCGCTAATTTTCATAGAAATTCCATCTTTAACCCTTTCACTAAAACACCCAAGAAGATTTTAGCACCCCATATAACGATGAACTTCCATTTGTCGTTGATAAACTATCGCCAAACCATCTTTATTCCGTCTCTAAATACCACATACCCTATTCCGTCACTAAAATCCGTAGCTAAATCCCGATTCCGTTATAGTGAGAATTAATAAGTCACGATTTGACTAGTGCATTACATTGAATCCAAGCTTGAAAATCCCTATAATTAACATAGGGTTTGTTAATCGATCCATCCACGAATCATGCTTTGTCCTTTGATTGGAGTGCATTACAAAAGTTACTTCTCTAAGTTAAATAATTTTCTCAATTTCTTTTGTTTTTACTTAGGGATTATGTAATAAATATTAGATCTTGATGATTTGAGAGATGCAAGTGGAATAAAAATTTAGTAGTAATTGTGATATTTGACATATTCATAACGTATCCTAAACTTTTCTTATTGCGACTTACAAAATCAGTTGCTATGATTGAGAAAAAAATCTTAAAAAAAAAAAATCAACTAGGTTATGAACCTTGATACCATCAAGAAAGTGAAAATGTTCATGTGTATTTCATTGCTAGGATACAAAAAAAAATTATACGGTATTTAATAGTTAATGTTGCTAAAGTTTAAGTAATCACTTTCTGTGATTGAGCTATGATATATGGAAAGCATCCATTTATAGAAAGGTGTAATAAAAATAAAATATTCATTAATTTTAGGATAATTTTCTTTCCTTTAACGACGAGGAAATTTCTTTTTGCGAAGAGAGAGAGAGAGAGAGAGACCAATGCATATCGATCTTAATTAAGTAGCTATGGAAGTAGCACGACACAAGCATAAACAGCTGCAAGTGGTGGTCGTTTACTACAAGGGGAGGGAGAGAGAATGGTGGCTGGAAGATGTGTTCATAGTTACTACTATTTATTTGAGGGTATACAAGTCTTAAAAACACTAAACTAACGGATGCTTAGAGTAATTTATCCAATGAATTATTATACCTTTGGTTGGAAAGGCTTTTTTAGATCCTGAACCAATTCTACCTCTTCCTAGGTGTCAACACATAAATTCCCCAAATTTTTTTTTCCTTGGACGAATTTAGATCTTGGACTTGAGCTTCTAGCAATGAAAAATACAGTAATGGTCAATCCGCAGGCTTGCGTCACTACAATTTATTCAATTTATTCACATAACGTACGATAGCTAAACAGATTTAATTATTATATTGACAGGTATACCAACATGATAATCTGCATATCAACATATCATGCCCATGTATTTATTGATATGAAAAATAATACATTGATCTATTGATCATTATGTCAATACATCTATTGACGTAGACTTGTTCTACAAAGCCAAACAATGTAGTCATGATTTAAACTATTTGAAACCATTTACTTAAAGGATTGAAATCCTTTTCACCCAGATCAACCTTTTTAGATTCCCTAATTTATTATTATTATTTTTTCTTTATTTTCTAAGTATGTGTTTATGGCCAGACCTTCAATTAGCAATCAAATTATATCTCAAATCTCAACTTAACTCTCACATTTTCTAAACTCTTCACAATCATACAATTGGATGGAATGCGTTAACGGATGCAGATTGAGAGAGTCAATTTAAAATTTTGCCAAAACTTTGAAGCATTATTGAAGATAAAACCTTGTTTAGGAACTTAAACTAAAATTATTATATAGTTGATGGACTTATTTGAAAATAATAATAATAATAATTGAAAATTTGCCACACCGCAGTCCCTTCCCTTCTCTGCAATTGCATCCCTCCTCTTCCAATATTTTAATACAACAAAATGGAGTCGGCTTGGGCTCCGCAAGATGGTGAAGAGTGGGAGCTTCGCCACGACGCCGATGGCTTCACCTACAAAATCCTCAAGCGCCAGCGCCTCGCCGACCCGTCCGTCGCTGTTTCACAACTTCCACTCACTGATCCGAAAGTCGAGGAGAAGCAAAGGAGAGAACGCAAAAGAAACATTCTCTTGAAACTTAAAAATCAGTACCAAAATGAGATCCACAAGTGGGAAATTTTGTCGAACAACTTACGTTCCATTCAAGAAAAGAGCAAACAAGGGGACCAAGCTGCTTCTTTTTTAGGTTCCAGTAATTCTTCTGTGGTCGAAACGAACGACGACTCTTCTGGGTCGTTAGTGGACGAGCTTCTCTTGCAGGTAAAAGAAATGGGTTTCTCTGGTTTTATGGTTTTGTTGGATTATTATTATATTTTTCTTTACCCTGTTTGGTTTGTGAATATCTCAGGCAGAGACACAAGAGGCAGTAATCCGTGACATATCGAATTTATGCGATGTAGCGGAAGCAATGTGTGATGCCCAACAAGAACAGTTAGTTCAGTCATTTATTGATCTGCCGGTTTGGTCTTCACCGCGTGAGCTCATGGAATGCCTCTGCGACGAGTAAGTTTTATCTTGGCATGGTTAAATGGTCTTGTGAAGTTGATGCTAGTCCGCTGAAATATTTTATCTTGTAGATCTCTTGATCTAAACGTAAAGTTTCTTGGTGATTTTCTAATTTTTTTGTGATCATGTAAATTTGTAGAAATTGTGGCTTAGAGAAATTTCGAGGGAGACAATTTTTAGTATGGTATATTCGTGTTAGTGAAACGTTTATTGTTTACCTTGAGCATTGTTTTTACTACTTTCCGGTGTAGAAAGATGTCTATATTTCTTTTACTACAGTTGCAATGATTAGAGATGGTGAAAGAATCTCATGCCTATAGTTTTTCTATGCAGAATGAAAATTTCAGAGCAGATTGGTTCTGAATTAATTGTGTGATACTCTTGGTTTCCAAGTTTCTCTCTCACGCTCGTTATGTTAGTTTGTATGTATGAATTTTGGTTCATGTCTTGTTGGTGAACTTGAGTTCTGCAGTCTATAGACATGTTAGTCTTTTAATTTCAGGAGTGTGCTGGTTCTTATCTCTGACTTTGCCATGACTTGATGATTATTATGAAAGATAAATGGTTTAATATGGTATTGATCGTTATTTTTGACGTAAGTGGAACTAGTCGGCAGCCTCTTTTTTGCCCGTGAGAAGTATAGGAGGTAAAGAGTTGATGTACATTTGCAAATGAAGATTCTTTATTGTCTTGTCGATACTTCTGGATTCAGATATTCAAACACTTTTCAAGCAAGATCATGTTTCTGAAAATTACTTGCATTGGACATTGGATTTGCAATAACTGCACTAATTTTCTTCCTGATTATTTATATCCGATAACGTGAAGCTAGTTGGTGCTTGGTACTCAATTTATGGGCTTCAGAACACTTAGCCTTTACACAAGAAACATGTATCATACATAATCTTCTAATAACAAGGACATTTTTTCCTGACTGCATATTACAGCAACAAAACTTGATGGCAGTTTGATTTCACAAGGTCTCCCTGGGAGAATTTTATGGTTGGTAAAAGTATGCATAGTTTAGATTCATGTTGGAAATCTTCTCACTTTAAATTAATGGTTTCTTGCTTATTTGGATTTCCATGGAAAAATGCCATTGTGAAGAAGATATTCGTCTCACAAGAGACCAGAGACCAAAGACCAAAATTGGTTACATAGTTGCCATGTATCATGCGCAGGTCGAGCATAGAGATTAAGTGTTCACACGGCACGGTAGGCAAGGGCTTTCGGGTCTGGAGATGGAACAATCCATGACTGTACCCTCCTGCAATAAGACAAGTCATCAGAACAGTGCCAATCTAATTGAGAATTCATCTAATTTTAGATTTAAGAGTTGTGCCCGCATGGGCATTGGTTGCCTCAATAACCTCCCATTGCGGTCTATATGTTTTTCACAACACTAAACAAACTTAGCTCCAAGAATATAAAAACAGAAGATTATTTTTCAACTCAGATATAAGCTTCTGATAAGAAAATGTGATCCTAATATACTACGCTTGAGGCCATCATCTTCCTCGTTAATTACTGAGCTCTCTAGCTATATGTGATGGTCATTATCATGTATCTTCATCTTCATCTCCATATGGCATGCAACTTGTCATCTCTATTGGAAACACAGACAAGTTAGGCATGAAACTGAACTAAGCCGTTCAAAACATTGACAGAATGGTTACTGCAGCACAATCATTTGAAGATAGAGGACTAGACACAGCCAAGAGACTTAATGCCTCAATAACACAAGAGGAGATGTTTTGCCACCGTAGACCGTCGGCCATCTCTGTCAAACTATAGTAGGCAGAATTTAGTGTAGCAGATAAAGCTGGATTGGTGCTCTTCCATGTTGTCATCATTCCACAGGGAGCACAAAGTTGGAGGACCGACAACAACAAGATGTGATTTTGGCATAAAAGTCCAAGCAACATTGGACAAGTAACGTGGATCAAAACCTTCAGTAGGGTCAGAGGACTAGTTTGTATTATAAGTTCCATAAAACCATGCTGAGGAGAAGTTTTCAAGAGCAAAATGACATGGCTGAAAAGTAACAGGGGGCTAATGGATAAACCAGCAAAGAAGATCCTTTCTATATAACCTTCAAACTCGGATTTTGGTTTGCTAACTTACAACTTACCCATTATAAGCGATTTTGATCATATATTAAGCTATCAAGTTCAAGCCTTTTATTGCTACTGCAATAATTTGATTGATCTGATATGTCTGCATGGACAGATTATATGTAACAATTACTTACCGAGTCAAGAAAGAGATCTGGCCTTCAATGTAAGGGTTGATGAATCCAGGAAGTGATTTGTCAGCTATTGTTGGAGAAACTTGATTTTATGTAATCCATTTCCATTACATAGCTCCCAACTCATAAATAATATGGAAAGACTCTTTTCATAGGAAGGATGGGAAGAAGGGCAAAAAGCCAGGAATGGAAAAACAAGGCGGACGTCAAGAGGGTTCCAGATACAACTTAAGCGCACTGCATCTTCAGTTTGACAATTCACACAGCCATTTTCAAATAACAGTGAAATTAAATTGTATGTAAAATGCTAATGCTTCAAACGGACAAAAAAGTGTTCGCAAATTTCTTTCAGGAGTGTTCACTGTGCTGCAGAAAGACCTGTTGGCATTTGGAATTACAACAAGTTTGCACCCTCGAATGTGGTGGCTGACCAAAACTAGTTTATTTATTTTTATTCATCTTAACGAGAGTGCGAAGAACTATATCACCAAGACTGAAATGTCCTATTCTGACAGGGTTTTGAGATCATCTTCATTCAGGTACGAAGGAATAACTTTCACAGGTTGAATGACAAAACCAGCTTCCTTACAAGCTTTCTCCAGAAGTTCTACTTGTGAAGGCCCATCGGGGCAGAATACAACCACAGCTCCTCCACTACCTGTAAATTTTGAAGCAGCACCCACCCTTCGGGCCACCTCCACCATTTCAATGTTTAAAGAACCAAGAACATCGCCTCCGAACATGCTCCTGTAAAAAATTTCCATATCAGCTAGGTATGGCTATAAGATGCCTGAATCATCTTACAAAAAACAAAGGCATTTGAAAATTATTGAAACAAAGATATTAGTTCTTTTGCTTTGTTTCTTACTCCTAACAAATAACATAATTGAAACAAAGTTAATATTACACATGCGGCCAGGATAACGAACTTAGGTGCAACTACTTCAGTACAAAGACAAACAATTCTTGTTCATTGACATGAAAAAGCAGAAATAATAGGATTTGCTTGCGTAAGGTTTAACAATTTCAACAATGCATTTTTTTCCAAAGAGAGATCAGCACCAAAACACAATCAATTTAAATCTGTCAATTCAGAGTTATGGTCCATCTTATCAAACTTGGTATGATATATTTTTAGTGGTTTGAAAAACAACAGCCAGCAATGTCGTATGACGGCAATGACAGTCATTATGGTGTAAAACACCATTATGATGACCAAAAACAGTAACAGACTCTTCATTTTCCATTAAATAACAGCCTTTACACAAAGGGATAGCCGTTATTTAAAACTATGTTGGCATATGATGCTCACAAGAATAGCACATTCTGTCCCAAAACCGTTTCCATTTTCCAAGTATCTACCAAACATGCAAATATTGTAACATCAGAGCTTTAACAGTATGGGGCCACAAAATCCCTGAAGAGTTAATTTCTCTTCAGATCTGATCTAAACCAGTTAAAAGCAGAAATCTACTACCTTCGAAGGTTAAAATTACGATTTATCAGGTCAGCAAGTTTGGAATAATCCTTTTCAAGTATCGCAGTTCGTCCTTGTAATGCAAGATCTGCAACTTCCTCCATTGATGATATAATAAACTCATCACCATCAAGCCACCTTTTCCGAACTGTGCTATGTACCTGCACTTAAAACAGACATCAGATGTTACCAAGAGCTCGATTACAAAAGAAAAGAAAGCAAAAAAAAAGATCATTAAATGAAATATTAAAGCCATGCGATAAATGAATATTATACAAAATAACTCTCTTGCATAGAAACTCCTAGCACAAGCTTGAGGTGCATGGCATTGAAAATTAACCAGAACTTCAAGAAAGAAAGGAGTTGCTACCACATGAGGAAAAACAGAGGCATTGCTATATTGAAAGACACACAGATGTTTGATATTGCAGAGTCTTATAACAATATTCATGAGCACCTTTTTGCACTTTCAAGTCATGTGGTCCTTTCCTACACAAGAAAAACTACATCTAGGCACAAAACCAAAATCATTCACGACCACATCAGCAGGAATGATACTCCCATGCAGACCCCAATTCCCCTGTGACAAGTGGGAGAGAGTATCTTGAGGGTAAGGGAGAAAAAAGTCATCGAAATAATGCTAACCTTCCCAGAATCACTTGGATTCTCAGCATAGATGAGATGAAGAGGTGGAAGGAGACTGACATCCATTGGTGTATAGACACCATGTCCCAACTTTTCCATGCCATCTTTATTAAAATCCTGCAAAAGAGTACGTAACATATATGAATCATTATATTTAACCAATATGTTGTGCATGTTTGCATTGCCACCTACCATGTAAACAAGCCCCCCATACACCTGTGCCACTCGATCTTGAAGGCCAGCAACAATTCCGAGTTCTTTCTCTGCACTTAGGATAAGGTCAGGCCTGATTTCTACTTTGACCAAATGCCTGACTTTGTAGAAGTCAAGAAGACAGTTTAAGGCTGCACATACAATAGCACTCGAACCTGAAAGTCCTGTCTGAAATGTCAAAATTATGACTTAAGCCATATGTTGCTAAGAATTTAGAAAAAGTAACAAAGACAAAAGAAAAAAATTGCTTTCAATGCTACTCTACACAATCTGAAATACATATATGATTGCACCAAAGTTCCATGTAAAAGTTAAACGATCGCTTCAAATACAGATCTCAAGTAAAAAACAGAATCATGGGGCACTCATGTTCATATTCAGACAATAGGTTCGGTTACTTCAAAATAAACAGCTAAAAAGGTTCTTGCGTAATTGAACATTAGGCCTTAATCCTCAAAGTAAAAAATGCATTCTGTAGCTACTAGCCACAGATTAGAGGAAACAAAAAACAAAAAGAATGATAAAAAGGGAATGGGATGGGATGACAAGAAACACAAGAAACAAAAAGGAAACAAAATCTTGTATATGCCAAAAAAAAGGGATGGGATGACACAAAGCACAGATCAAAGGAATGATAAGCAGAAACGTTGTACCTGGCGAGGAATGTTAGTGTCATATGATAGAGTGAAGTTTCCCTCGCTAAGCTCAATATTGTTCTCATTGCAATAGGTGTAGAAAACTTTACAAATCGACATAAGCAATCTCACACCTCCATAGTAACCCTCGCTTCGTAGCCGATTCACCTAACAAATAAAACAACAAAATCACATTACATTATCAATTAAAAAGATAAAAAATCAATGCAACAATCATAAGTTCATATATCAAAAAAAGAAAGAGATGAAGAAGAAGAAGAGAAAGAAACCAGGTGATCAAGGCCTGAGAATTGGACGAGATCATGTGTAGGATGTGGAGTGATGACGAGATGACGAGAGGGGCGCAATTTGACAGTGGCCCAGAAATTGCCAAGGCTGAAAGAGATGGTACGCCCATAATAAACATCACTCGGATTGCCTAACAGACCCACGCGTGCATACACTTTGTGTTCGATTTCAACGCTTCTTGATGATGATTCCTCATCCATCGTCTTCCTTTCTCTGTCTCTCTCACGGATTTATGTTTCAGTTTCAGGATCAGGTTCTGTTTCTCTGAGTTGTTTGCCTTCGAGTCTGATATGGTTGGTGTGGTTAATCGAGGCCGCCAGGCTGGCCCACTTACCTTGTACTAAAAAATAAAACAAAACCGTAATGGGGATTTCTTCTCATTCTCAAATCTTATCACCATTATCATTATCATCGTCATCATCTTCATCTCAATCACTGTCAACATCACGCGCTTTTCTTTCTTACTATTTTTAGGTCTCGCCTTTGCTTCCAATTGCGAAAAAAGGCACGTCATGCTCTTTTAAGAGAATTAAGATAATTTCTTATTTTTATCATTATCTTATTTCATGACACAAAGAGGACAGTTTAATTCAGGAAAAGTTACCAAAAAACTCTCTACAAGAATTCTAGCCAAAAAAATTCATTATTTTATTTTTAAGACTCTAAAATAAAAAAAATCATATTTTTCTTACAGAGAACACACAATAACAATTTAATTGGTTAACTGGAGTTTTCTTTAAAAAAAATATTATTTTGGATTTGAAAAATTTAAAAATAAAGTAATGGGATTTTAAAATAATTTTTTTATAAAGATTTTCTCATAATTATCCATACTTTAAATAAAATCATTATCTTTGAAGATGTATACTTATACTATAGATGTCTATGTTTTATTTAATACATGTACCGAGATATGTTATAAATTTTTAATTACTTGATAAAAAAATGCTACTCTCCTCTGCATTTGCGGCTGTAACTGCATATATGCTCCAGTTGCTTGGAAGAAGACCTTCAAACATACTCCCAGCCTCACAAGCTTCAAGGTAGAAGAATATCTGTGACAATTAATTTACGAATATATTACTGTTCAACTTGATCAACAGTCAAAAAATTCGAGAAATTTCTTTTTCTTTCGGTTGCAATCAGAAAGAATTTTTACTCGATCATAATCAAGAAAAGAAAGATTATATCTAAGAAATCTAAGAATATAATTTTACGTTTAAGAAATCTGAAATTAAGTTGGTGATTTTCCTAGATAGAAGATCTTTCAAGAGGTGGTTTTTTTTTTTTTTTAATTCTCCCTTTAATTTATTTCATTTATATTTTCTCAGTTTTAAAAGCCCTATTATTCCATTTATTATTATTATTATTTTATCTGTTTGCTTCCATCCATCTTTATTTGTTTCCATTTATTATTATTTTTTATCTATTTGCTTCCATCCATTATTTGTTTATCTGTTACCTCTTTGTGGATGAAGCGAACACGACGATCTCCTCTCCTCTCCAGCTGGAAACATGTTGCTACTTTCCTAAATGGTCAACAAGAGACATGTATTTATTTGTATATATGTAACAAAAATAATTTCTTTTTACGAAATTCATTCTCCTAAAATGTCAGTGTGACGGAAAAGTTGAATCCACGTGTTTATTCTCTGGGGGTGAAAAACGGTCAACAATCAAACGAATAGTGCTGAACTCCAAAAGACAAACAGAATTAGTCACAAAACCTCCATCGTTGTTTACATTAGTAAAGACATTTTAAAAAGTGAGGCAGTCCAAAACTGAAAACGTAAATCCATCTGCAATGACGTCCACAACTCCGAAAAACAAAATAATTAAATTAAATCCAATCGCACAAGACCAGTTTTGATTCACAAATCCTGCATCTTAGACAATGATAATTTAGTTACCTGTACAATTCATCACCAGAAATGTACAAATTGAGCATCAACGGAAAGGAACTTGCCATGATTTCAAACATTAAACAAGCAAACATTAGTCTTCCTCCTTCTCGCTGTCTTCAGGCAGCCCCATGTCATCTCCAACACCTTCAAGTAGTTTATCCACATCCTCCCCTAGCTCCAATAACCTTGCGCTCAGCTTTTCAACCCTGCTCTGTTCTTGCCCAAGGCACACTAGCAAATCGTTCAGCTCTGCTTCACTCTCCTTCAGGGCTTCTTCCCTGGCTTCTGCTTTTATTGCCTCAACATCTGGCGGTGTCGAGGCTCCTCCCCTCTTCAAGGCTTTCACTTCCTTCTCCAGGTGGAAATTGGCCTGTTCGAGACTGTTATAGGCATCAGATAGGCTCTTCAGATCAGATTCCATCTTTCCAGCTAGATTCTGGTACATGGACGCCTCTGATTCTATTTTGGCTTTCTCTGCCTTAAGCATATCTATTCGTTGAGATGCTTCCTGAATATCTCTCCGGAGTGTCTCTGCCTGGACTCTGTCTAAGCCCCCACTTGTCCTTTGCTCAGGTTGAGAAGAGACACTCCCACCAGTCTTGGCCAAGTTCTCAGCCAAAGTTGCATTTCGACCAAGAAGATTCTAAAGAAACATGAAAAATATAAACTGACAAATCAAACACATTGCTCTGCAGCTCTAAAATTTCTTTTTCTTTAACAATGGCAACCCTAGTGTGAAGACGTTTTAATTCCCAAGATAGTATTATATAAGATGAACAATTTAATGACATTTGGGAACCACAGGTTCTGATCTAGATGATCGGCTTTAGAATAAAAAACCAAAAGCCTAAAACACTTTATGTGCTAGCATAAAAGAGGCAGGTTAAGAACACATTTATCACAGGTACGATTTTCTATTCATCAAACTTCTTGTTTTTTAACCTATTCCCCCCAATTCTGCCCCCCTCCCCAATCTTTTTTTTTTTTTTTTGTCATCATCATTTGTTGTTACAGCTTCACTGTTTGATGCCTAATTTACTAGGCAACATAGAATTTTGTCCATAGCCAATTAACTTTTCTCAAAGTTTTTGGTGTCCATCCATCATCGAATCCACCTGCAAGGATTAAGATAAGACTTCCAAGAACCATCCCATGCTCTAACTTTGTTCAAAAGGTCAGAAAAGGTTCAACTAAAGCAGGTAGCTCATGCTTAGCCGTTTTCTTGTGTCTTTCAGCAGAATAATTTGTATCCAGAAATGATTGAATAGAAAAGGTGATGCGACCCTGAGACATAAAAGTACCTGTATCTCAGAGCACTGCTTCTGCACAAATGATTTCAGCCGTTCTATGTAGTCTTTCTCACTTTCTCCACTCTTCTGCTCCAATTCTGCAGGTACAACAGCCACCTCACTCTTTGGACGACTGTATACATCTACAATTGTTTCTCTGATATTTCCTTCCAACATCTTGACAAAGTTGACAAAGTGAGAATCAAATACTGATGAAAGAATAGGATGATCATCATTCTTCTGGTCAGATGCATCCAGCTCATCAACATCTTCAATCTCTGCCATACTAGCAGCAGCAGATCTTGTCAATGGTTTATGAAGCTTTGTTGGCTTAACAGAGGAGAAAAGGAAGCTTTTCATCATTTCATCAAACTTAAGAAAGTATGATGTGAGTCCAATCTTCTGACTTATGGCATCAACTACTGTAAAAGCATCCTTTCCACTCTCACCAGACTTGTTGTAAATAACACACTCCCCCAAGAGAACGGCTGCCAACCCCCTTATGCACACAGTTGCAGATGGATTTGACACCAACTCAAGCAAATACGTTAGATGGGGACGTGAAGCTAGGAAGCACTGGATTGCATTGGGGCAGTCGGCTAGCCAGGTCACTAGCAATTTCAAAATAATTGGCTGAACATACGAGTTCTCTCTTGTACTTGACTTTCCATCTTTATTTTTCACATTGGAAGCAAGGGCCAAGTATTTCACCATGCGGTGCATTAGAGGTTCAGGAGGTCCTAAGGATGGTGTGGCTGACTCAAGCTCAATGTGTAGTACCTGCAAAAATTTTCTTAAAATCAGATAATCTCGAAAAAGAAAGGAGGACGGAGTTCACATTTCCCTTGCAGAAAATTACACACGGAATTGGGAGAAACCAAGTCCGTCCTTGTTTCTCCCTTGTGGTATATGGGAGAAAAACTTCACTAGAAAGCGTGCACAATTCACTCACCTAATTTATCCACATACTCGTATTATCTCCCCACATGACCGCATGGACTCTTTGATTAATAGTATCCACAATATTGTGTTGACTCAAGAATCAATCCAAGGCAGTTAAAATGAACATTCAAATAGTGGACCCTACATTCCTGGTGCATGTTGAAAAGGAAGTAGCAGAGATAGAGAGAGTAGCTAACCTAGGAAAATTCATTTTCCAAGTGATTTTGAACATCCCTTTACCAAACCCCACAAAAGGAATACAAATACAGAGAACACTTGGAAAATGAAATACAGCAGAAACCCTATAAAATACAACTCTTGTACCAAGAAAGCAAACCATATTCACAGGTTCTGTATCATTAAAGATGATGTTTGATTTCCACTTCAGAAGAGAAAAACATTAATCAGAACTCAAAACAGTGGATGGAATCAGGAGAACAGAATAACTTATTCATGGTTGGATACAGGATAACCTGGAAAAGCATTTGTTTCGTGACAATTTTAATAGGAAGAGTCTAAATCCAGGTAAACAAAGCCTAAATCCAAGAAAGACATAAAATCACAAAAACATCCTCTCTACCAATAATTGCACCCTTGGTTTGTTTAAAAATCAACTCATTGACAAGCCTCAATTTCCAACTTCCACCACTCCACTAACACTCCTTGAATCCATCTATAGCCACTCCATTACCACTTCTTAAATCCACTTCCCACCTCCAGTATATCCCATCAAACATCTTTTATTCGTCCATTCCATACCAACCAAGACCCATTTTTTATCACCTTTCAAAACTGCTCATTAACGGCAATAGAATGCTAATGAATACAAATGAAGCACTTGCTATTCAAGTGGTTAGTGTTTACAATCATTATCAGATATCTCGTCAAAAAGATAAATAAATAAAAAGAAACCACTTGGTCTAGTTGAATCTCTATTCATAAGATGATTCGACTTTATAGCAAAGAACTTTATTGCTCAATTTTTGCTCTGTTTTTTCACCTTCTGGATGAATTCAGGTAACAAAAGGTATATTTTTATGAATAGTTGTTACTAAATCAATTATTTGGGGTTTTCTTTCTAATGATTATATTTTGTGACAACAAATCTTTCCTAGGAGAACGAAAAAAACATGTGAAAGTAGAGTCTAAATGTGAGTAGAGAACAAGTGTTGGTGGTGATGGTGTTTGAGATGAGTTTGAATTTTGTGGCAATGGAGAGGGATGAGATTCCAAAAGTCTAAAATAAGAAAGAGAGAGATGCAGAACTGAGATTAAAATAAGATTAAAAAAATACATACGTACGTACGTATGGTGGTAAGTTGACTAACTTTGCGTGGATGCAAGCTTCTAGCTCGTGGTTTTAAGAGTCTCCCATTTTAATAACTTGATTATCATTTTTCAGCCCCACATCCATGTTAAAACAGAAGTAGAAAAAAATGAGATTGCATACCCTTTCCTTGCACTGGACATTGTCCCTGAGTATATGAGAAAGCACACTAGCAGCCCTGCAACAAGTCTGGAGTTCAAAAGAATAGATTAGATTGATGGTCATCATGCAGCAAGCACCAATGAGTATATTCAATGCTCCATAAAGTGCAACAATATATAGAAGCAGATGCAAATTTGATGAGACTATTTCAGGCATTTCTATTTCTTTTTCATATGATACTATGCAATACTAAGTATTACCTCAAGGTCACCATCACTTTCACCCGAAGTAAGACCATGTAACAGCATGCTGCAAAAAAAAAAAAAAAATTGAGATAAGCCATCAAAAACTTCACCTTTAGGTGTGATAGAGGTGCTTAATTAAAGCAATAAGACTTAATACACATACTGCTTCAAAATAAACTAATAATTAAACAGTGTATCAGTATGTGCACTAGAAACATACAAACCTTCCAAATGACATTTTCACATCCTCTTCACTGGGAGCATGAGTCATTGAATATGGTTGAGGTATTAATGTGGATGCTAACATTGTCTGACCATCAGAATTTCTCTGAGGAAAAAATACAAAATGTTCAAATAAGATTTGGAGAGTAATGGATTACACTTTTAATAACACACAAATTAAGAACATAAATAATTGATAGAATTAACAAAATCATCAACTTCACAAACATAACCTCCCCCCCCCCCCCAAAAAAAAAGAAAAAAGAAAAAAAAAGGAATTTTACACAGCAAATACATGAATTAACCTCGCAAAAGCTCTTAAAAACATGGTCAGCTTCAATAAACTCTTGCACACTGGATGTCCGCAAAATGATTCGAAGAATAGAATTCAGAGCAGGTTCTACTTGTGGCTCCTCACCAAGAACTTTGCTTGCAAGAGCATCCAGATTTTTGGGGTGTCCGAAAATCAAATCACCAGTGCACCGCAATGCCTGCGAAAGTGAATAAACTTCATGTAAATGAACAAGCCTTGGTGATTGTTCGTAAATACTCAAAGAATAAATTACCCGTTCAGAAGAATCAACAAAGCTTCATCCCACGTATGAAACCAGGATTTCACAAATTTTCTTCATTTGTGATGGCTATAGTGGCCTTATTTTACAAGGACAATAAGAAGAAATCCCAAGGCTTACCACACAGCGTACAGGAATAGGAGCCCATTGGCTTTCGACGCCCAACAATAGAAGATAGTCGAACACTTTATTCTACAATCAAACCAACAAAGATTTAGGATTTAGTATTATTATACTAACAGAAATTATAGATGCTGATAAGCGAGTTTGTAACAAACCTGAACCAAGACTGTTCTATTTGTCAGCTTATTCGTATCTTTTCCAGGATCAGATTCTGAACCTCCCATCAATAACAAGTTAATGGTTTCCAATGCACTGAGTAGATTAATTGTCTACTGGGATGACATTTGTTTCAGAAACAGCAAAAATCACCGGTAAGGCTTCCACGACAACATGCCCAAACATCCAAGAACATTCAAAATACAGAAAAATATTAAAATCATTGGCAGTCAACTGTCTAACCTTCTGTTGGGTAAAACTGTAAGCAGTTCCACGTAGCTTCAAAATTGATATTATAGCATCAAAGCCCAACGTCTCCCTCAGGAGCACCTAAACCACACAAATTATTAATAGGTCAACTAGCATCCATGCATCAGAAACTATACCAGAGAAGCTACAAACCTGATTAGATGCATTGCTGCGAAGAAGATTGTTCAATAGTTCAAGGCAGTCCTGGGTAGAGACCAACATAAGATTACATTAGCAACATGTTAAAAGATTCCTTCCATTGCTTAAAAAGATAAATTAGACTAGAATAAAGATATAACAAGGGCTATTTTTATTTTATGCTCCAGACAGCAGCTATAGAACTCCAGTGGTAATATATGAAACTGGCCAATGTAATCAATAGCTATGCTCATAATGGCGATGAATAAAATGAAAAGTTAGACTTCAGAGGCTGGAATTGCACATGAATAGGGAATTAAAAAAAAAAAAAAAAAAAGCTTGAGCTTTAGATGAAAGTTGTGCAAAACTGCATAATTTTACATGAAGAGCCAACAAGAGCCAACAAAACAAAAGGGTCTATTTGCAGGGACAAGTGATCTAGCAGCAAACAAGCTAAACAAATTAACAGGACTACATTAAAATTGAGATGAATGTGAATCACCTGCACAACAACACCGCCTTCTGAACCTCCTTCCTCTTTAATAATGCTAAAAATTTTCTCAAAAGCACCTTCGAAGACTACAATTTTTTGAATCTCCTAAATATTATCAAAATACATCAGCAAGTAACAAAATGATACACACCAATTATGTGTTCGATTATAAAACAAGGTAAAAAATGGTGTAAGAGATGACAAACGAAGAAAAACCCTCACCTCAGCTTCTCGAGTCAGGTGAGTAAGAAGCAGCAAGGCCTCATTTCTTATAACCTGCAAAGCAGACTAGAAATTCTCACAAAACAGAACAATGGCTAAAAAAAAATAAGAACAGAAAATGAACAGCACAAAACACTCAAAAACTACTTTGATATTCCCACTTCCCCCTTCTAAAGTTTCATAATGCAACGAACAAGGGTTTTTTTTCCCCTTCTTAAAATTTCATAATGCAATTTTTTTTTTTTTTTGGGTGTCCGATCATTACTTCAATCTTTAATCTTTATCTAGAGAGCTGAAAGTTCTGCGGTGAAATGAAACCCTAGGCAACTAAGAACTTCTTAACAAAGCATTAGTTGTTCAATTTAAGAGTTTTGAACCTCGCGATCCATAAGCATATCCATGAGCCGAGTTATGCCACGTGGAATGGTCAGAATTGCTTCCTGTAACCTGAAGAGGAACTCAGAAAGAGGCTTTCCAGCATAACTAGAAAAATAAAAAACACCAAGGTATAAAAGGAGGATATTTGTTCTAAAGCCATACCTATTTTGAGAATTTGTGAGGAGCGCAGTCAAAATTTGAAGGGTATAGTATCGCACGTAGAAATCTTCTTCTGACTGCCAAAATAAACAACAAAACCAATTGCAACCAGAAAGGCCAAATTTGAAAAAAAAATGTTAGAAAATACATATACAGGACTCACCAATAAACTGAGAAGAAGAGAGATGTTTTCTGCTTCCCGAGAAAGCAAATCAGTATTCATTAAAGCAGGTTGGACCTCATTCTTTGGCCCTTTTGTATGATCAATAGAGGTCAAAGCACTAACAAGAGTTTCTAGGGCCCCTCGAATCTGCTCCAAATAACATCCGTTTAGTACATAATGAGTTCAGACTGAGCAATTTATTAAGATGAAAATTCATAATAACCAATTGAAGAGGCAAGGAAATGATCAAATGGGCAGACTAGGCAACCAAAAACTTCAAAAAGAATGAATAAACTTCAGCTAGCAAAGGAGAACCATCAATCCCAAAACTTTAAAGAGATGAAGATCAGATTATTGGAAATTACGAGATTAACAAGTCCAACAATTATACAATTCGATCATTTAGTAAAACAGATCCTTCAGTTTTGTTTTTCCACCAACATAGATGATAATAAAAGCATTCTTAAGCAACATAATCTAACTGAAAAGGGCAGAAGACAAAAAAGAGAGAGAAAAAGCAAGAAAGAAGAAGGGAAAAAAGAAGAAGGAAAGGATATGGAAGAGAAGATTGAAAACCATTTCAACATCATCTCGCTCCTCCTTCAAGACACCCATAAGTACAGGAAATCCTGAACGAAAAGCAAAGAAAACAAATCATCATATGGCAGCGACAAGGAAAAAGGAAAAAAAAATGAGCCTCATTTATAGAAGAAGAAAGAAGGACATACCCATTGCTCCAAATGCTAGCTGCGCACCCCGACTTTCAGCAACAACAGACTGAAGCTCAGCCATTGCATTCCTCCTGTCGTCTGGTATGACACCATTGCTTATCCGATCAAGCAACCGTTCAACATAACTATGGATAAAAACCACGTGATAACTCATATTCTTTATAGATATTACCCAACAAACAAAATAAAAGCAAAACCTATTTATCAAAATGGTAGGCAAGTAACAAAGAGTTCACGAGTCATTGTGAAGAAAATAACTGCCAGAATCCATCTCGACTGCTTTTAAAAGCAAGATAAAGCAACACGAATAATGCAGAAAATAGAAATTCTCCACTTAACATTAACTAAGAGAAACATTTCGAAAGCAGACACAAACTTCCGTAAATTCATAGAAAAATTTAACAAGTTGCTTCTCCATACAAGACAAACCTAACATAGTCAAATACTCTTTAGTAAAAAAAAAATGAAAGAAAAACCAGTTTGATTTGTTTACCTATCTTCATTAGAAGCAGAATTCTCGTTGCCGAAAACAAGCCCAACCATTCCCTGCACAAAAAGAGGGGAAAAAAAGTTTTACACCTATTTTTTCAATTCAATCAGATCTTTTATAATCAAAATGAGCATGAAATTCATCTATCAATTAATAAAACACGCATTACTACGATTAAAAAGCGTAGTAATAAGAATTAGAGCAAGCAATTGAGAGAAAGATTGAGACGATCACCTTGTAACCGGACACCAAATCCATGTTTCAGGCTTATAGCTTAATAGCCAAAAAAATACCTATGATAATGACAATAAATGTTATTGTTATTAATCAGATTGGAAAAAAAAAAAAAAAAAAAATCAGCAACCCCAGTACTCGGCTAAGGAGAGCGGGGGAGGTCAACTGAAGTGGATAGAGAAGGAAAAGGACCGATCAGAATTGGATCTGTGCGTTGTTCTTTCACGTGGCCTTTTTTTTTTTTTTTTTCTTTTTACGTTTTTATTTCAGGAGTAAATTAATTAGTCCCTTTCTTTTGAAAACTATCAATTAGTTCCTCGCGTTTTCATTACATAACATTTTGTCCTTTCATCAGTTTTCTATTATACTAATAATTTGTGTTCCTAATTTTTTTATTTTAATTTTTAGTTGAGAAAGAGGGAAAAAAATAGGTGAATGAGATAAATAATTTATAAAAAATTAATTTGTGAAAAAAGGACTAATCTAATACAAAATTGATAAAATAATTAAGTTATTGGCTGAATTAAAAAATAAAATACTAAATAATTAATTTTCAAAATATAAAGGATTAATCAATTTATTTTCAAAACCTAAAGGGACTAATTTATAATTTACTCTTTATTAGAGCGAGAATGCTGAATGGAAATGAAAAATCGGATATGTCCTTCAATAATGTCTATAAGCCCATTATTGATTAGGAGCTAGCTTAATTGAAATTTCTTACTTCACTGGCCCAACTGGTTTTCTTAGAGCTTATAAGCCCATTATTGATTTTGAGCGATGGAATATTTCCTATTGAGAAAATTTGTAACAGGAGGGGAGGGAAAATAATGGATGAGAGAAATTTAGGTAAATCTCAAACATATCGTTAAACTATTAGGTTAGTATTAATTTTGTACCGAAACTATTTATTTTTTTAATCAATTTTACTCCTCAACCATTTTGATTTCTTAATTAAAGATTTATGTTATAATCATTTAACATAAAACGTTAAGTTTTATGTAAAATGACATCATTTCTTACCGATAAAAAATATAATTTGGATGGAAATATGGATAGGAACCCTTAAAAATAGATGAATTGAAAGTTTTGATAATTGACTATAAAATTGATATAAAAAAATTGTTTAATGGTCAAATTAAGACTAGCTATATATTTAGGGGGTGTTTTTTAAGTTGGCCCAAGAATTTTTATCCTTTCTTCTTTGTATGGTGTTGATAAAATTTGATCTAAAAAATATCATACAACTTGATTCTTGGAAACTATTTGACAAGTGTTGGTAAGTATAATTGATTTGATAAAGATATCATTCAATTTAAAACATAAACTACGGTGTTTAATAGTTTCAAAACACTTTTATAAGGTTCATAAAGTTAGAGCTTAGTTGCAAAGGAGCATTAAAATTTTCAATGACGAAGGTTTTGATCCATTTATTAGCTTCAATGAATCATAACCATTGTGGTTATGAGTTTGATGATAACAAAATATTAATATTACTAATTATTGCTTTGAGTTTGTGTTTTATAGGTATCACATTTATTTAAGTTAATCTTAAGGTACTATTAATATGTTTTGAAGATTTGCATAATTGCAATTCCATGATGATCAAGTTTGCTTCAAGATTAGTTTAGGTGTTGGAGAGCTTAACTATTATTCAAGTCTTTTTAGGAACTACTTTGACACTTTAAAATTATTTTGTAAACCTAAAATGCACTTTAAGATCGGCTTGCCTCAAGTCTTTTTAGGGACTAATATAAAATAGAGAGACAAAATGTCTCTTTCACTCTCGATTTGAAAATCCTTTTCGTTATTTGTGTTTATATGTGTAAGAGTTGATCTCACTTATTTTTACCTAGTATTTAAATTTAAAATGGTTTTATCAAATTTTACCGATCGCCCGGGACATATAAAACAAAGCCTCTCTCTTATTTATCTCTCATTTGTTAGTCATGTCGCTACTCGACATTTAAAGGACTTTCAAAAAAATTATAAAATTGTTTATTTTATTTATTTAATATGGATGTGAGTTAACTAATGTTTTTAGAATCGTCACCTAGTATCAAAAGAATTATGAACTTAAAAATGACACTTGGATTTAGAGATTTTAAGATAAAGAGTTGGTTATGCCTTTGTAAAGAGTTGCAAAATTGAATAAATCTTTATGTGTTTTGACGAACGGAGGTACAAAGATAATATAGATTACAAAAGAGAATAAAATCTAATATAATAGTGGTAGCTAAAATTTAGGATCAACAATTTCGATAAAAAGTTAACTCTAATATTCACATATATTCTAATTAATGAAAATATATGATAATAAATGTAAAAGATCTCTTTTAATCCCTCTCAAGTTAGATCAAGAAGATCGAAAATGCCCAACTTGTCCAAAAGGAAGCTAAATCGAGCCCTTCAAAGTGCTTTAATAAAGATGTCATGCAATAACTCGATTTAAAAATAATATTTGAGTTAAAAAAAATCTAGGCTAGGTATAAAAAAGGCGAGCACTATTCTTTTGCGGAATTTTCTTTTTCTTCTCTTCTCTTTCTCACGCATTTTCCCTCTAAATTTCCTCCCATCTTCATCATTCAATTTCTAAGCTAATTCCTTGTTAAATTAGCTTAAGAAAACCATAAATTAGTTGATTAAGTAAAGCTTAACTAGATTGAAGCTTGGAAAAGATTGAAGAGCTAGGATTAATTTATGGATCAAAGGATAAATTCTCAAAGGTAAGATTTTTTATTAATTGATCTTTGATTTGTGATGCTTATATGTAGTTAATGGTGATATTGAAATGGAATTGCATTGGATTTATTGTTGGATGGAGAATTGAGTTTGATTGAGGTTAGGGTTTTGAGACCCATTTAGGAAAAAGTTGATTGAGTGATTATATGTGTTTGAATGATGTTTAATTTTCTCGGGTAAGTGATTTATAAAGTTAATTTGAAGTGGAATTGAGTAATTGAGAGGTTGAAATGATGAATAGTAAAAAAATCTAAAAATTGGGTTTTGAATTAAAAAGAATTTGAGAAAAATGAAGAATTAGGTTATATAAATGTCATTAAAGATGAATGGAATGCGTATTAAGTTAATTAGAATAGAATTGATGATTCAATTGAAAATTGATTTTGTGAATATTAATTGAATTAAGGATTGATGATGGTATATAATTAGGCAACTATTTAGAATTGTTAGAGGAATTACGAGTCTAGTTAAAGTTATTGGTTTGAGTCTTCCAATCAATTTTATTCCTATAAGTAATCTTGTATTCCTAATCTAGAATAATTCAATTTTTTGAATTATTCTTTGATATATGATATTGATGGTTATTTCACCATCTTATGTTATTAGATTTCTCGAAGCGGACGACTCCATCTCAATACTATTGACTTTGTTTGATTATTCATTGTACTCGTGAGTGGATATTATATAGCATATCATGTCTTTTGAATTCCTTCCATTATGTTTGTCATGCATCATTGGTTTAAGTATGATTTAATTACATTCTTTAAAACATAGATGGGAACGAACTCTATATGTATTTGAAATGATTTCGTATTGAAATGGTTTGATATGGTTTTAAAAAGACAATTTTATATATGTTTGAATAAGTGCTTTACTTGGTTTTTACGGATTTAAATGTTGATTTACTTTAAATAATTGTTTTGATTATCCGTATAATTTTTGTAAATGCTTATTTAATATGAGATCGTATTATTAATCTAATTTGGAGCATGCATTATGTTTGAACCATCGGTTTTAGGAATATGTATAAGTATATAAGATTTTTAAAATTTTTTCAAGACCTTTGAGAACCTAGCTACAAGGGGCGTAACCTTTGAGTTCAATGATATAAGGCTCCAGCTAGCAAGAGAGGTAGAGTGCTAACCCATGTGTTGGTCAACATACGAAAACCTAGTTATGAGGGAGCATGACCTTTGGGTGTTCGTATCCAATGATACGTTTTTACCTTATGGGTAAATAAAAACCTAGATATGTGTTTTGATATGATTATAATATATATATATATATATGATTCAATGATTTGATATGAAATGGTTTTGAACGATTTAATTTATGATGTACGATTTGGTTCTACAATGTGTATCATTTTGGAGAAACTAGCATTAAATTTTAAGTTGAATTTTAAATTATTGTTCTTAGTCTATTTTTCTTCTTTATATGTGTTATATAGTATCTAATCACCGAGCTATTGATTCTCACCCCCTCACTATTTCATTTTTATAGGATTTATGAGGGTACCTTTTTAACTTCCATTTAACTGCTTGTTTTAAAGTCAGCACATTAACCATATGGTTTGTCTCTTTACAATCTCTTAAAACTTATATTTGATTCTATTATATTCTTAGAAGCTCTATAGTTATAGTTTATGGATGTTGTATTAGAAAATTATTATAGATATTGATTTGAGAAATACAAGAAAAACATTAAATTATGATTTGTGTTAGAATTATAATGTGATGAATATTATTTAAGAATGTTGTAAATGAAATGATATTTGAGGTGATATTGATTTGAGAATTATAATATAAGTATTTAAGGTCGACTTGAATCAATATGGGCCTTATAGTTCTCTCGATTCTCTCGACAATCATGCCGCACTCTTGGGGTTGTGATAAAATTGGTGTCGAGCATAGGCTTTAGAGTCTAAGATAACTATAGAGCATAGGTTCGATTTTAATCCATGTCCTTGTTTCGAGCTACATACGATATAAGTTAGGGTATACACTAGCTTTTATATTTATAGTCTTAAATTGCATGCTAGAAGTAGGGTTTTATCACGTATAATCCCTCGCATAATTTGCTTATTAACACATAGTCGTGTCAATTTTTTCCTTCACCTTATTTCTTTTAGCTACTTGTCCGTGTGGCTTTTCTTTTCTTTTTTTTTAGCAATTCTATGGTAAGATACGGGCATGTCAAATTTACTCTTCATCTCGTATCTCTAAGCTTCTGCCTTGTGGATTTTCTTTCTTCTTTGGATGATAACCTTATTAGCGAGACAT